GAGCCCTACACAGGAGGGAAGACAAGAGAATCCTCATAATGAAGACAAAATAATGTCCAAGAATAAAAGCTCCATAGCAATCCCATATGCCAGTCAGCACTCTGGGTACTATCAGTTTGATGTTTTTACAGACATTTATTTTTAAAGTTTATTAACATTTTTAAAGTTCTATACTATATTTAGGCATAAATGTCAGGATTATTATTCCTTGTGTGTATATACCTATTTACAGTTCACAAAGGGCCAGCATGGACAATGGAAAGATCCTGGAAAAAGCTTGTTGTGAGAAAACTTTATAGTAGCTATAGATAGCTTTTGCAAGCCTCTTACTTTTACAACAACCTATGAGTGACCAGGTCAGTTATTATCCTCATTTTACACTTAAGAAAGCTAAGGCTCAGAGTCACTGTGTGACTTGCATCTACATAGTGGCAGTACCGAGGTTCAAATAGTGATGATCTATCCTCAAGTCCAGGCTCTCAAATTTCCCATGAGTAAAATGGAAGAAATAATTAAACTGGTAATGGGATCATAGTAAAAGAACATAGGTAGTTATAAGACAGCTATAGTGAAAACCAGTGTAAATACAGGAATATTGTTAAGATACTTACCTGTTAATAAACTGAGAAACATCCCTACAAACAATGTTGTCAAAGTCCCAATAGTGCTGAAGTACAGATAGGACAGAGAGTACCAGTTATTCATCAGTGGGGTCCTAAAAGCAAAAACATAGCCATAAGATTTAGTGCAATGCTACTAGCAACTGTGCGTATGGGTTAATGATTCTCATAACAGTAAAAATACAATATTTAATAATATTTTTATGTCATTATCTGCCATTCTGGTCTCTGCTTCCAAATGCTATCAACATATAAATTCAGGGATTGAGTTTCAGGCCCATGAACTTTGGAGGACACGTTGAAACCATAGCACCTTTTTATAGGAGTGTTACATGAGCTAGATTTAACAAGGCAGGCAAAACTGGGACGAAGGTGGGGACCAAGGACAGAGGAGTGCATACTGCAGGATGAAGAAACCAATGTACAAAGGCATCTTGGGAGATCACGCCTCCTCCCGTACAAGGGCAGTGAGTGACATGGCCAAAGACTTAAGATATCAGGTAGTTGTCCAGATTCAGACCTCAGTTTTTAACTTTCTAAAGTGAGTATGTAAGTATGTTAATAGTTTCAACCTAATCTTTCTTGTGATTAATGAAGTTGAACATATTTTTATGTTTTTTGACCCTATGGATGTCTGCTTTTGTGATTTGTCTATTGACAACATTGACCTAATTTTTCAATGGAGTCTGTCTTTTTATTATTTATTTGGGAGTTGGTAATATATTCTTGATACAAGATGTGTTTTGAAAATATTTCTGTCCTACTCTATGGACTGTATCATTATTCTTTTTTACTTCTATATTTTGTAAAAAGTCATTGACTTTTCACTTGACTTCTCAAGTAAAATAATCCTTGAAGTACCAGAAAGAGGTTTAATCATAAAAATTAGCATGCTCAGAATGGCATCAAAACCTTCATTTTAGAAATAAAGGACTAATACAGTTGTTTAGTGGCTGATTTCCATGAGAGCAATGCCTTGGACAGAGTAGAGGGAAGAAGACTAATTTGGGCTCACGATTTCAGAGGTTTCAGTCCGTAGTTTCTTGGCCCTGTTGCTTCCGGTCTGTTGTGGCACAGTATATCACTGTGGGAGAGTATGGTAGAAGATGTAGTGGCTAGAGAGCAAAGTGAGAGACAGAGAGGAAGGGGTCTAGGCCCCCAATATCTCCTTTGAGGACACTGTCTCCCCCATGACTTTGTTCCACCATGCCCTTCCTCCTCAGGGCTCTACCACTTCCCAAAAGCACTAAGGGCTGGTGATCAAGCCCTTAACATTGGGCCTTTGTAAGACTTTGCAACTATAGCAGTGTGTAACCTAAAAAAGCATGCTGAGTCACAGAGTGTGAGAGCTGAGCTCATTTGGGTAAGAATGAGGATCCACCCAGCAGAGAAAACACAAGTTCTAGTTGTCCAGGATGGCATCTGAGAGAGCTGGCTTTTTATAGATTGAAAACAGCAGCAAGAACAACAAGGTGATAGTGACTTGGTTGTTGCAGCTGGTAGGAATAGCACAGCATATGACTATCTTTGGTCGTATATATGATATGTTCTGTTAAAGAGTTGTTATAAGCATGAATGGCTTCCACTGGGGTTATTTATTATTTTTATGATGCCAGGAAGTCCACAGGACCCTGTACCACTGTGACCTAGGTGACTGGGTGACATTTTAAATCCTTTTCCAAGTTTACAGTCAGGGCCATACTTTTGATTTTTGGTCCAGTAAGTAAAGACCAGAATGCCTGTTGTCCCCCTGGCTCGAGAGGGGGGCACACCCCAGAGGCCACCTGCAACCCAGCATGGATGCCCACACCAGGGCTGCTCCTCGTAGCATCACGGTGGTTGGTTTTTCAGAAGCAGCTGCCTGCATGAATGACTTCGCTGCTGAGCAGTTTAGTTGTCTTCAGTCACCAGGTTAAGCAAGCCCTTGATGCTGCAGCATTTGAGAAGTGAGGGTCTTAGTACATTTTGCATTGTGCCAAGACATAATCTTGTGTACACATGGAAATGGTGCTGTTTTTTAAAACTTGTGTATTTACATAGCTTAAAAGGGGGATATGTGTATAATTAATAAATTAGTCCACTGATTAGTTTGGTGTAATTCTTGATGTGGATAGTGGGAAGGCCACCCTGGGTGTGGGTGGCACCACCCAAAGGGTGGGTAGTATGGAAGGGATAAAGGCTGCTGCTGCTGCTGCTGCTGCTGCTGCTTCTCTACTTTGCTGCTTCACTGCCTTCTGCCCACCATGGGCTGTTTCTCCTCTGCGATGCCCCTCTGCCATGCCACCCTGCCTTGGAGCCAGGCAACTATGAACTAAAACCTCAACTAACTGTGCGCTACAATGAACCTTTCCTCCTTTAACTTTGGGTGTCAGGCATTTTGTCTCAGCAAAGAGAAAAGTAACTAACACAGCATCTTCATAAGAAGTGGAAGAGGGCAGTGCTAGGGCGCTTTCACTTTCTGGTCATCTGGGCCCCCCCACACACACACACACCATGTTAGGATGTCACAAGAAAACCCCCAACCCTCAACCCCCAACCCCCACCCCACCCCGGCCAATGCTGAGGAGATGATGAGAAGATGCTAGAAACATGCTCTTCGACTTCCCAACTTCTAGAAAGGTGAGAAATAAATTTCTTTTCTTTATAGATCACCCATTCTATATTAGTCTGTTACAGCAACAGCAAACAGCAAGACAGATTCCCCCAACACTACCTCCTGGCTAGCATGAGAGCCTATGTATACCACTTATTGCAATGTGTTGTTAGCTACTTATTTTCTCGTCCAACTTCCCTTTTGCTTATTGTGTGTGACAAGAATGACATTTTAAACCTTCTCCTACATCAAGCCAACTCTGCACTCTTCAGGTAGTCAGACATCTCTGAAATCTTTGTGCTAATCTACACACCAACTTTGTCTTCATTCATTCTTTTAGTAAACATTATACTTCCCAAGTATGAAGTCACTAGTTACTGTGTGCTAATTACTTTACTTATCACACATATCCTCTCAAGTTAGATTATAATTTCTTAGGAAATAGCAGCACAGCAGGTAAGAAGAGACTCTCTAAAATGAATATTAAACCAATGGCTAGGTACACAGTTCATGTTCAAATATTCTTATGGGTTGGCTGAGTTGTCTTTAGTTTATTTGTTGGTTGGTTAGCTGTGCTGCGGGTTAAACCCTGGTCCTGGAACTTGCCAAGTAAGTGCTCTACCACAGCTCCCCCCATCCTCTATTACTGGAATTATTTTATAAGTAAGCTAACCTATAAAGGTGATTATTATGGTACCATAACAATGGCTGATCTGTTTGTTTCAGGAATCTAAAGTAGCAACTTGCCTTACACTCTTATATTAAGGGAGATATTTACCCAGTTGGGACGAAAGCTAAGCAAAATTATGAACAAGAGGGACAATCTTAAAGCCCTCTTACCTCACTCAACCTTCAGTCAATCTTGTCTTCCTTTCTGGCCCCTTCTTGTCACTTTCCCGATCCCCTCCCATTCCTGTTCTTATGCTGCCCTAGACTGCTCCCCAGATTCCCTTACCTCTGTCTTTACAGCACATTACTTAGTCTCCCAAACATTTCTTGGCCTTTGGAACTAAATTTTCCCTCCATCCAGGTAGTGTACAGCCTCGAACTCCCCCCAAAGCCCCACTGCAAGTGAATTGGCAAGTGAATTCCTTCTGGGGTGTGCATGGCTTCATTATTAATGGCTGTCTGTGTGCTCACGCTCCTTTCCCCAGGACTGTGTCCATTCTACGAAGGATGTATCACGTCTTGACCCAAAAGCAATAGTTCTCTAAGGCTGTCTTCTACGTAAGCTGGCACCCGGGTAATACATCAGGAACAGGGTTCCTATTTTTGTCTTCCTTGAACATATCCATGAGATTTTGTACTGTAGCCTGCACACTGATGTATCCTGTATGGAAAGTCAGCCTCCAATTCACAGTACAATACATCTTCTGCCAACAAGTCTGCATTATTTCATTAAATCAGACAACCTTCAGTATTTAGAGGCTCAAAAATATGCTGCATAATGGAAATCTCCAGCAGGAAGGTCATAGCTGTGACTCACTGACAGTGCTGTAGGATCTGGAATCTTTAAAACAGAATGAGGGGCCGGGGATATAGCTTAGTGGCATAAGCACTTGCCTGGCAATCCTGAGGTCATGAGTTCAATTCCCAGTACAAAAAAAAAAAAAAAAACAGAATCCACATAATCAGGTAATGGTAGCTTTGGGTCAGCAGAGGGTCTATTTCAAATACTCTAAGCAATACTTCTTTTATAATTGAACTTTACATTGAAAACACTTCTCAAAGGCAGATAATTTTTCATGCAACTAGAGTTGCTGTTTGGTAGTTTATCCATAACAGATTTTTAAATTAACATTCAAGTTTCCTTTAGATCTGAAGCTAAGGCTGAAATTTCTATAGAAATTAAGAAACATATGCCCTTTTTACTATTGCTGAATAATATGGTATAGCCAAAGACCCACATGGGCTCTACCAGGTTCAAAATTAGGAAAAATTATAGTGTTATGGGCAAGATAATAAGCAATGGAGTTCTTTACTTGTTGCATGAGTCTTAAAGGTAGATTATAAAACTGAATACCTTTCCACATTGTGGATTTGAAAGGCGCCCGTAGAAAACGGCATCTCTGTGGTAGTCATCACATCGGTCGCATTGTATGTGCTGTTGCAGCCGTATGTGGCGAGGTGCAGAGGCATAGTTCTCTCAGGAAGTGGGGGATAGAGTTGAGCTCCAATTCCAATCCATAAGGACATGACAAATCCAGTCAACAAACCAAAAAATGCTCCCTGGAAAACAAGAGCTCTTTTAAAAGAACAATAATGCCGTTGGCTTTGAGGTGGGACCCCTGGAAAGTTAAGTTCAACCGGGTCCATGCTACCTTCACAAGCTCCCTTCCTGTGCCTCCTCTCCCTTGCAGGAGCTCTGCCTCTAGCCAAATGTCCTCCAGGTCCCTGGTCCCTCAGCCCAGGATGCCAGAGCTGCGAAAACCCCACTCCCTTCCTCATAACCCTGTCTAACCCACCACTAACTCCGGCGCACTTTTCTTTGCAAATGTTGAACACTTCTAATTTTTCAGATCTGTTTTTGTGGCCAGCCCTGGGCTCTAATCTCCCCATCCCTTCACATCCCCAAAAACTGCAATAGTCACAAAGTTAGCTGACGGCAGGCCAGCTGTCCCCACTGTTTACTGCATCCACAAACACGTGGCACGCCACATGTGCGGCAGGGTATGAGAACAGAAGCACATCGCGTTATCCTTGCAATGGACAGCAAGCGAGATGATAACTGAGCTGCAGTACAACCAGGGGAAGTGAACAAGCTGTATTACTAATGGGTGCAGCTTGGCCATGAGCCAGATCACACCTCTAGAGAGAGACAGAGACAGGGGAGATCCTGGCCAGTTTCCTCTGAAGACACTGGGTTTCTCCTCCTTTGCAAGACTTGGGTCTCCACATTTCACCAGAACCCCAGCTGCTGGGTCAGTTCTTGAGTGATGGAAGCTCCAGTTCCAAGGACAGGCAAAAGCACGCCTTGAGCTGGGAAGCTCCGCCCCTACGGAGGACTCTAGGGATAATGGTGAGTCAGGACAGTCGAGCCTCCACCAGGCCTGTGGGTGGAGGAAAGAGGAGAGTGTGTGAGGAGGGCGTAAATCTAAGGGAAATCAGAGGAGAAAACAGAACCATGTGTTCAAGGGAGAGTGAAAAGGTTGGGGGCCAGATCAGGGGGTTTGTGTTGGGGACAAGGACTGGGAGATCTTTCAGGAGTTGTCACCGCCTTGGGAGCTGACTCTGAGTTCTTTCTTTTTGGTGCCCGTGCGTTCACTACACTTAATAGGATCACAGCAAATCTTTTTTAATGATAAGGGGTAGGAGTAGCCGGGTAGCCAGCTGCTGATGGGCTAGACTTAGCTCATCTCAGCATGGTGCATGGCTTGATTGAGGATCCACGAAATTATAAAACCCGCAACACAAGGGCAGAGATGTTCAGTTCTCAGCTCCTGAAACAGTGCTCAGCCCGTACACGTATTTTGTTTGTTTGTCTTTTTCCAGTACCAGTAATTGAACTCACGACCTCGCGCTTGCCAGGCAGGCGCTGTGCCGCTGAGCTAAATCCGCAGCTCCAGCCCATACATGTAAATATCCACTGGTGGTGGGGGAGAAGGTGAAAGAGCATAGGAATAGGAGAACAGGAGGAAAGGCGGATGGAGAGGGAGAGAAAAGGCCACTCCAAAGGAAGGCAGGTAATTTTGGGTGACAAATGTGGAAACGGTAAAAAGTACTTCCTATGGCGAGAATAACAGTATCTCCTCCCCCACGCCCTGCCAAAAGGAGCATGTTGGGGTCACCAGCCACTGCTCTTCTGCAGGCTGTTCGTGACGGCAACACGTGTTGGAAAGCAAAAGCTGATTTTTCCCCATTCAGCAAACCACCATGCGTTTCTAAAAGCAGAGTCTAAGCAGGGGGGCAAACAGTCTGTTTCATTGTGATTAAGTTTTACCCAACTGGCTTCTCATGACACCTCATTCAGACTTATTAGTAATAATAGAAATATTAGTCCCTGTTAGAATTGCCTTTCTTGTTCCTCATGCCTTATAAGGAGAATAGAAATCTGTATGCTAAGTTACAGTTATTCTACAAATGTCTGCAAGAAATATACATATGTTAGTAGTTTTCCCTGAATGTCATCCTATAGCAGGGCAGAACTAGTGGATTTTTCACTTGGCTTTCAGAGAAATAATTTGTATTTCATTCACCCCAAACAAAACCAGCATTTCTAATTCTAAATACTATATTCATAGATGGGTCTGTGTAGAAGACCGGAGCTGTTAGCTCTTCCTGGGTTATATTCCAAATACAATCACTTTGTCAGAGGTAGAATAACGTTTTGGAGGCCACAACCTTAAATATCAGAAGCACAAGCTTTTGGGTCAAGGTGATGAGGATCTTATCACTTCTTGCTGCACTGTGACTATTCCCAAGTGTCCTCAGCTTTGCTGTCCTTAAATCTCTCTGATCTGCAGGTATCGATCTCTTTCTTTAAACTCTAGCTGTTAATTTTTCAGAAGGGCATAGGAACGTTGCTCCTTTAGTCACATTACAAATATTTACTGTTGTTCCCTATGGGTCTGGCCATTTGCACTGACCTTCGGACATGCAACGTCCAAGTCTATAGTAAGTACTTCCTTACGACCCCCGTCAAAGTCAAAATGAGTAAAGTCAAGGGGGAAGGAACTAAGGACACATCTCAAAGCAACCAAAGCTTTACAACAGAGTAAAAGATGTAGAGATGCTACTCTCTCCGGGACAATGCCTTGTGTACACACTCATTCTCTATACTTACAACCGAGTTGGCAAAGGGCACCAAAATGCCCAAAGAGAATAAGCCCAAGAGGGGTCCTCCGACCATCCCAAATATGCTGAGCGCCGCCTAGGAAAAGAGAAGGAACGCAAAGTCACAATGCGCAAGCTCAAACCCAAACTATCTCAAGGCGATCCCACCAGGGTGAGGATTAAACGATTCCGGTCTGCTCCTTCTTGTGGCAGCCTTGTCACCGGCAAAGAGGTCATTAGAACCTGGGGACTCCTGTTGCCCAATTGCAAGGGTCCACCTGTTCCTGCAGGTTCCGTCTGAAGAGGCAGCAAAGTGCAAAGACAGAGGATGCCGAGGACCAGGGAGCACCGGGGTGAATGTGTGTGATGGCGTAGGAAGAGGTGCGAAACTCGCTTTGATATAGAGATGTAAAACCACAAAAGTTAAAATGATTTGTAATGTGAAGAACAAGGAAAGGCAAATAGCTGCTTGCGGAGGACGTGATTGGGAGTCGGCCGTCACAGAATCCAGTTGGATGGGAGACAGGCTCCGCGCAAGATGTGACCAATAGCATGTGGCCCGTGAATCCGGTGGTGACACATAGGATCAGGATCCAGTTTTGGAGAGAGAAGGAAGACACCAAGGAAAGGACCTGTTGGAGCACTGGTGGTGAACCTATGGCACGGGTGCCACAGCTGGCTGCTCCTTCTCATTGAAAGCTCTAAAACATTCGCCATCACTGTGTTAGCGGAATAAGATCTCGATTAGCAAAGCAACAAGGAAGAACTGGCTCAGAGTGATACTGATTCTGCTAGAAGATCTCACTATGTACAATCAGCCAGGACAGGATATGAAAAGGAGACTCAGCTACAGTAAGCACTCCCAGTAATAATGCCGAGGTGGCCTCATTCCCTGGAAATCCTGGGCCAGTGTGGGAAATCCTGCATCACGGTGCTAGTCGACACATAGTCAACCCTGCAAGACACTTGAATGGGCCTGCGGCTGTCACTAGTCTCAGCTCTCGTACATACTGCACTCTACCTCCAACCCTGAGGGCTCCAGAGCTAAGAGACTGCCGAGCCTGACAGTACACTGTACAGATATTCCTCGCTTAATGACTTAACCTGTGTAATTACGGCTCAGAGTTACAACCTGTCTCCTTTTTTGTACAGTTCTGCACATCCTGTTTAAAGAGCTTCTGTGTCTTGTTTTGCGCAGTGCACCTTGTTTATACAGTCCTGTAATTTCTGCTGATTGTTCTGAACAGTACAGTTCTGCAGTCTTCTGTTCTGTTACGCATCACAGACCTGCACGTAAGAGGTATGCGAACAAAGGCGAAGTCATCGAGTTGGAGTTTCCTTCGGTCATTTCTTTGTTCTGAACAGTATGTTGCACATACCATGTAGTTCCTCATTTAGCGACCAATTCTTTTCATGACCTGGTCGCAGGAACTGGACTTGGTGGTTAAAGGAGGACTGTCTGTTTTCCACGGGCAGCCAGATCCCAAGCAGACCCTCTGCCACAGGGCGAGGAGGGCCTGGCAGCATCCAAGGAATGATTTGCTGGGAAGTGAACTGCATCTTTGGCAGCGAGGGTGGAGGAAGTCCGGGGTCCCACTGACCACGTAGGGGAGAGTGGGCTGGGCTGTGGATCTAGGGCAGACTCACCAATTGTGAGGGAGGAGTGGTTCAAAAGTAGTAATCAGAGCCAGGCACAGTGGTGCACACATGTAATTCCAGCACTCTGGGAGGCTGAGGCAGGAGGATCACAAGTTCAAGCCCAGCCTGGGCAACTTAGTGAGACTCTGATTTAGCGAGACTCTGTCTCAACATAAAAAAAATTAAAGTGTTCAGGATGTGGCTCAGTGCAAAGGCCCTGGGTTCAAGCCCCAGTACTGAAACTAAAAATAAAACAGCAATCAGGACTTTACTGTAAACCCTGGACAAGTGGCAAAAGGCCTATGAAGACACACTCCGAGGGCTGACAGGTGGACCATGCGGGGGGGGGGAGGGGGCGACAGAAATGCGGGTGGCAGCAAGCTGAGCTCCAGGTCATCCTGAGTAAACAGTCTGGGAAGCCACAACCGGACGTGGGACATCAGGCACCTGGAAAAGGCAGCGGGGACACCAGGGCTCGGAAACACAAACTACGGGGAAATGCAAACGTGGCTGAACAGGCTTGGAGCTGCCCGACTGCACAGCAGCATCACTAGGGATGGGATGGGGGCCAAGGGGACTAGAAGCAAGCAGCAAGCTTAGAGACGCCGTGTGAGCTCCAGGTGGCATTAAAGAGGCAAAAGCCTGGCCTCACACGTGGTTCGATTAAGGCAAATTAGGGCCTCATGCGTCCCGAATCGCTACCGGGCACGGTAGGTGTTTCCAGGAGTCCTAGGCAACAATGACAGTGACAGGAGACAGTGGCAGAGATGGCCTAGCAGACAGACATCCCAGTAAAGGCCTCGTCGGGGAGGGATACGGGCAGTGTTGGGCTGGTCTGCACGGCACCTGGGGCGCGGGGCAGGGGTGTTATCAGTGACTGTGGGACAGCTGGTGCTCGGCTGTCCAGGAGCAGCGGGAGGGCCATGTCCGCTTCAAGGACAGCCCGGAGGGACGCACGAGGCTCACTGGAGTCCCGCCAAAGATTTGTCAGCCTCGTTGATCCCTCAGTGAGAGCCTGCTCCGCTCCCAGTGCCCCTCTCGCAATTCTCCTTCTCTCGTCAGCTTTGCGTGTTCTCACTGCCGCGTGTACACGCGTGCTGGAGTGGCCTTTGTTCGCTCACTTCCTCCAGGCAACCTCTCCCCACAGCAATTCACACTGAAGATGAGCCTCAGAGTCCAGCTCAGGTTGTTCCGGTTGTGCTCTTAGAGACGGAGCGTGGCGTGGGCCAGTGGCCAGGCCCAGATGCCGGCGGGGGTCACATGACTGAAGGATGGGGAGATTCTGCACCCGGACACTATGCTCGGGCTCCTTCAGCCCTCTTACAACTGTTGCCAGTGTTTCTCTCACAGAGAGGAAGCTGTTCTTGCCGGGTAAGCTTTGCTCTGAGGCGTAGGACAGTTGCATCTGTACAGAGGTGGCGTTGTCTCCTGGAAGTCCTTGGACTAAGCTTGGAAATCCCCAGGGTCAGTTTGCATCACACTGCTGATGGTCGCACAGCGGCAGCCCTGCAGAACTCTCGGGCGGGTGTGTGGTTATCACTAATCTGAGCTCAGTGACACGAGATGTCTCTTCAGCTGCACTCCACATCCACAGCCAGTGTAACAAGCGCTCCTCCCTCGGTGTCAGCGGAGGCAGGTGAGGAAGCTGGCCTTCTGCCTTCGTGCAGCAGTAATGACATGGCAATCGCCCTGACCCTATGACAGTGGCATCAAAAAGCCCAGCTAGAATAGAAGGCATAAGATCAAATAATACAAAAAAGTCCAACTTCCTTCAAAATTCACTTGTCACAGCAAGAACCAGGGAGCTCTCAAATGCTGCATGCTACTCGATTTCATTTATGCAAACTCTTGACATGGCAGAATTACCAGAGTGGAGAACAGATTCGCGGTGACCAAAGGCCAAGGGCGCGGGCAGGAGAGAAGCAGCAGTGGCTGTGAAGGACAGCGGGAGGGACCCTTCCAGCGAGGAAATGGTCCCACCTCTTACCACGTCAGTGTCACTATTCCAGTTGTGATACTGTTTTATCAAAACATTCCCACTGCAAGATGTTTTTGCAAGACATTGCCATTGAGTGGCACGGACATGAGCAATCTCTGTATTACTTCTTGGAATTGCATGTCCATCTATAGCGATCTCAGAACAGAAAATTGAATTTTTAAAAACTTTTAAATATACAGTCATTTCTGTCCTTTGATATATCTATGTGTAGATACATAAGGAGAGAAGTCTGGAATGATAGGACATGGACATTATAAAAAAGAATTCAGTGACAGCGGCTTACACTTGGAGTAAGCGCTTACCTGTAACAAGGCTCCCATTAGCGAGGCCAGAGCGGCCATTCCGATACACAGGACGCCGTACAGCACACCTAGGTGGGCGACACAAAAGGCACTGTGAGGTCCAGACCCAGAGAACTGGAATTCCCAGTAGAATGGGCCTCCGTTCCTTTGGGTCAGAGAGGAGCTTATACAACCGAGAGGAAGAATGACCACACACACCAGAGCCAGCAAAACAAAGAAAGAGGTGTTTTCCTCCAAAATCTGCTGTGTGCAAACAAAGCCTATATATATTGTGCCCCAGGATTAGGTATAACAAAGGCAGGTTATGTAAGGCAAGAATCCCTGGAATTAACTACGGGCATTTAAAAACTAAGAACTACTGCATTGTGTTATGAATTTAATCTGCTGTAAACGTGTTTACAAAGGCAGGCTCAGGACTCTGTCTGTGCTCAGCCCACTGTAGATGAAAGGGAAGGAGAGCGGAGGAATGGACACCCGAAATCGGAGCTTTCTGACTTCCGCATTTGTCCTCCGCCACAGGAGGTAACCAGGGCGGCGACGTAGGCCAGCAGCAGCCCAAGCCTTTCCCATGAAACTAGTAAAAAAGGTGACTTGGGGGCTGGGGATTTAGCTCAGCAGCAAAGCGCCTGCCTGGCAAGCGCAAGGTCGTGAGTTCGGTTCCCAGTACCGGAGGAAAAAAAAAAAGGTGACTTCAGGGTAAGTTTCCCACTCCCCCTCCTGCCAAGCTGTTTCCCCAAACTCTTTCATAGAAATTCTGAAGCCACCATTGTTTGTCAGACTGTGGGATTTTCATTTCCTCTTGTAACTTTCACTTTTTTCCATTTTTTCCTGTGTTTACTTTTTTTAAATGAAGTAAATATTAGCCCCTACCTTGTATTTTTTTAAAACAATTCATTCAGCAAAAAGTTTTTTAGATCCATCCAGAGGCTTTCCAACGCCCCAAATCCAAAATGCAGGAAAACAGAACGGGGACATCATCATGAAATTAGTGCAGAGTTAAATTCTGTCCTTCCTCATTTTATTCACACGAGCATTCACACGTTTGTTGAGCATAGTGTGTAAATAATCTTATTGTACCTGAATTTTTTTAAAAGCCTGACATTGTTTTTTTTGCTGTATTTGGTTTCATTTTTCCTCATTTGGTAGGTCATGAACTATTATGGTTTCAATACTCAAAATTACTGGGGAAAAAACACTGAAATCACCTATCATGTTCTTATCTATGGTGTCCTTACTGCATATATTTCAATGTAGTGATTTCATAGGATACTTCAGATGAATGAAAATCCTGTCTATACTGGCCAGTCCTGAAAATTGTCCTTTGTGGTCCACTGACAGTGAATTTTTTTTTTTTTTTTTTGGAGACAAGGTCTTGCTATGTAGTTCAGGCTGGCCCTGAGCTCACTGTGTAGTCCAGGCTGGCCTTGAACTCGTGGCAATCCTCCTGCCTCAGCCTCCTAAGTGCTGGGATTACAAGTGTGCACCATCATGCCAGCCTGAAATATTTAAAGTGTCTTCCAAATCTTGGTTGCAAATATGGCCATGTCTGCATTAAGCTGTGGGCATGTGCTGTGATCCATATTCACACTGGGCCGTGCTTAGTGCTTTGTCAGGGAAAAAGCATTTCTAGTGTCTCAAAAGAAGGCGCCCCTCCCAAGCTAAAAGGGAACTGGGAAGATAGAAGCTTACTCATTCCCTGGGAAATCCAAGAGAGAGACTTCTCCGAGAGTGACCTGAAGCGAGGTTTGATGAGATCTTCCACCGTCACGGCTGCTAATGCGTTAATACTGGAGGACACTGTGCTATATGGGAAAAAGAGATAAAAATGCTTTGATTAATAATATGTTAACTGTAATAATACTTTTTGTGTGAATGAGAAAGCGGGAAGCAAACTGACACCTCTAAAATGTAACCAGATTTCTGCTATTCTTAATAACCAAAGCATCTTCTCTTGGAAGTGGTTATCATCCAAAATGATCCAGGGAGTAGCTAGATAGCAAAGGAAAAAGATATGCCAACATCACTTCTATTTTCCAGTTTGTCCTCCGTGTCCATAAAAATGCACACTATTATATTATGTTATTGCATGACGGTAAGACATTCTTCTTTGTGCCTTGAAAGGACTGTCATAAGCCCTCAGTAACGTGCACCATTACTGCTCCTGTCCTGAACCCTCACTGACATATGCCATATATGTTGATAATATCAGTCTCCTATGACAAACACAGGAAAAAGGGCAATGAAAAAATACAAGAGTATATTATTCCACGTGTAAATAGATTTAATTCTAATTTTTCAGTTGATCGTGCTTTAGCCACATGTGTGTCCTAAACTGTTGTTTTAAAATGTAAAGATTTTTGTGCAGACCCCATGTTTATGAAGTAACATCCTGCAGTTTATCAGAAGTCAGAATCCATACCTTAAGGTTCCACTGTAAGCACAGGCCACAAAAAGCCCAGGAACTCCGGGATAATCTTGCAAAATATCCAGTACCAGATAAGGCATGAGCTGGAAAATTCCAAAATGCACCCCTAAGTGCTAGTGAATAAAGTCAACAAATTCCTGATTACCGAAGATTTTTGTTCTTCCAGAAATGAAAGGAGCTACTCCACTGAAAGGAAACTTCGAAATATCCAAAGGTAGAGTATTTCATTGCTAATATTTAAACAAAAAAACACAGTAGCTAAGTAGACAGGCTTTGGATTCAGACAGACATGGACGGTTTTCATTACTTGATTTCTCTGAGCTTTAGTTTCCTCATCTAATCTATGAAAGCTTTTAGTATAGAATATGTAATATCATAAGTACTCAATAAACATAATTCTCATTCTATGCTGTAATAGGGCATTTTAAGGGAGCGTCTACAGACCTCTTTGCTTAAGTAAGTAGCACCCTCTCTACTTATGACTCCAGCCTATTTTAAAATTTTCAATCACTATCCAAGAATAAAGATGTAATTTGAGTTACCCAGAGTGTGAAACACAGCAATAGATGGGAAAATACCTCAGGAAGTCCTTGAAATGATTCTCTTTTTGGAAAGTTCCTGGTACCAACTTGGTTTGTAATATTTACATTTTTTAAAATAAATACTAAATAATGATGGGCATGTATGTGACTCTGGACTGTATTATCCAGAAATCTTTCTGCGGTGTTACTTTTTGAACAAAAGAAGTCTTAAGTGGACAAGACCTCCTGGAAAGTCTCCCTTCCTTGGTTTTTTTGGTTTTTGATTTTTGTTTTTTTCCGATACCAGGAATTGAACTCACCACCTTGCGCTTGCCAGGCAGGCGCTGCGCCGCTGAGCTAAATCTCCAGCCCCAGTCTCCCTTCCTTTGTACAGAGATGTTACTGAGCACATCTCCCACTGCAGGGTGGGTGACAGCTCTGTCCTGTCAGCCTTCACAGCTTCTTCAGTCTCATTTGGAGATGAGAGAGAGAGGGAGGAGAGGGGAGGGGAAGGAGAGAAGGAGAGAGATGGAAGGGGACAGGGCAGGGAAGGGGGAGGGACCAGGGGAGGGGGAGGGAGAAAGAGAAGGAGAGAGAGCTTCCTAAGTAATATCATGACTCAGTTTTCCCAAAATATTTTAGAAGATTAATTTGAAACAGTATTTGCCTATTGTGACTTCCCACAGTAGACCATGCTGTCTTCCCAGATGCAGCGTGTACTTTTATTTTTGCTTTTATCTTCTTTTCCTCTTGTTCTGCCCAGGTTTGCTGTGCAGAGCTGGATTCTCCTGTACCCTTTTACCCCTCACTTTTCAAATAAGCTTTTGGCACCGTTAAAAAAAAGTGAAAGAGTATGTCATACCTAAGCAAAAGTAAAGCCTCCATCATTAGCACTGTAATAAGGTCTAATCAGCCTCTCAAAAATCTTCACTATACAGTGTAAAAGAAATAACACACTGTATTCCAAGAAAAATGCATACTAATTGTATATCAATTTAAAATGTTTAAATTAAAAAATGTTAACATATATACAAAAAGTAAGCTATCAAGTCATGAAAATACATGGAAAAAATAGCCTGTTTCTAATCTAAGAGGCTATCTGCCATTCCGGAAAACACAAAACCACAGAGACAGTACAAGATCAGTGATTGGTAGAAAAGGTAGGTAGGATAAATAGGTGAAACACAGGAGATTTTAGGGCAGTGAAATGATTCTGTATGATATAGTAATAGGGGGTCCATAATATACATTTGGCAAAATCATAAAAGTCTATCTTAATGTAAAATTTACTTCATGATAATGTATCATTATTGATTTATCAATTGTAACAAATCAGTCTGGAGATTCCTCAGTAAACTGGGATTACAGGTCCCATTCAACCCAGCTATTCCCCTCCTGGGTATTTTTCCAGAAGAACTGAAAACATCATAGTATAGCAATATATGTGCACCTATGTTTATAGCAGTGCAATTTGTAATAGCTAAATCTTGGAAACAGCCCAAATGTCCATCCACTGAGCAATGGATAAAAAACATGTGGTTTTTTTATACAAGGGAGTATTACTCAACTATAAAGAAAGATAAACTAGAGGCTTTTATAGGTAAATGGATGCAACTAGAGACCATACTCATTAGAGAAATAAATCAGATTCACATGTGTAAACATCATATTTCCTTCCTACTATAAGAACCTGAAAGAGTAAATAAAATCTGAAAGGTACAATAGATATTCTGAAAGGGAAAAGAAACTGCTGAAATAGGAAGGAGCAACTGGGATGAAGGAGGGGAGAGGAAAAAGAAAGAAGGAAGAGGAAAAAAATATGTATATGTGCACTCAGGATAGCTAGGATAATTGTACTACTAAACCTGTTGATTTATTGAAAGGAACTGTTAATATGTAATTGTTTGATCAATCTTGCATGCCTATATCTGGTTATCTGTGCAATCATTTTGAAGATGACATTATGTAATATAACAACAATGGTTAATATCTTATCACCATGTTTTTTTTTAAAAATGTACCACATCGAAATAAGAAGTTAATAACAAAGGGAATTGGGCATGGAAGAAATCTTTAGTGTGATGACTTCATGCTCTGAACAGGTCCCTCGGGCACAGACAGCATCAGCCAGCTATGATGACAGGCATGACAGCAGCAAAACTTCATCAAGACACCAGCTCTGCTTTCTTGGGATGATTCCAGCAGACTGTGCAGAAAAATAGCATCTCCTAACCCACAAACTTGTACGGGGGAGATATGAGACACTCTTACATAAAAGTCAGCCTCTTTGTTTTATGAGACCCTTGATTGTTTGATCAGCAAGCAGCTCTTAGAAAATAATTTTGGCAAGAATGCAGTTTTTGGAGCTGGGCAGCCCCGGATTTGAATTCTATCTACACTTTCTCGAAAGACAATTCACAGCTCACAGATCCCTAGGCCTGGGGCAGCCTGCTACTAGTGGATCTGAATCCTGACTGCAGGGCTACTAGCTAGTTACTTACTCAATGCCTGTGTATGTAGCTGTGAAAACTAAAAATGAAAATTGATGCAAAGCACCCCTGACAGTGCCTGGCCCATGGTAAGGATTTGATGAAGGCTCACAATTATTCTGTAGGCTTGCAAAGCGGCCCGGGGTCAGTTGGAAAACCTTTGAGATTCATTTCGTCATCTCTAAGTTAGGGCTGCAGGGTTGAGAGAATGAAACGAAGCCCACAGCGCTCTTGGCACAGAACCTCATGGCGTAGTTGGTACGCACTCCATGTTCCTCGTTAGGTCCCTCCCTCTGCCATTTATAAACTAAAAGACACGTTACTTATACATGCGCGGTTTAGCAACACCCACCAAATGCTCGCCAGTACCGTGATTTGTGTGTAGCTTTTAAAGTGTTTACATTTCTACCTCCAGCACTGTGTGATTTCTATTTAACACTGGGCTTGACGTTTTTCTGAGTGTTCCAATATTTTAACCTCAGACACAACACTCTTTACTCTTGTTCTATCTGCTGAAATAAACTTCTGCCACACACTTCATAGAAGCGAAGACGATCAGCTTGTGCCCACTTGCTGTGTCTGTCCGAGAACAGGGGATCGTCCCACTCTCCCCAGGGTACTCCGAATGTCATTACCACTGTGTAAGAAAGACACGATACCAAACCTGGTCTTCTGCAGACACCTTCTTGGCTGTCCAAGGGTCACAGTCATGGTACCTGGAGTACAGGGCAAGCCCACAAAATACCGAGCAGGTAAGGATTGCCCAGAGTCCCAGAAGATTGATGTAGAGAGACCTGAAGAAGAAGAAAAGGAAGAAACAGCAAAGAAATCTATTACAGGAGCAGAAGAGAGCTTCGTGATTATATTAAATAATTTGTGCACATTACCTTTTGGCTGATAAATGCTATTTTTCATTCTATCCTAATCTGCTTATGGTGTCAGCCAATAACGTATTTTATATTTGTAACAGATGGTGTTTTCCTATTAGATGTGTGTGTCCCTCTGGCTGGAATCCCAAGGCACAGTAGCTTTATCATGGCATCTACTTACGCTACTTCTGGTCTTCTTGTCAGGAAATAAGTATTCTCACAAGCAACAGAGCAGTAACTATTACTCATTTTCCTTTTAAAAAGTAATATGATCATAAAGTGCTAAACATGGTTAGCGTCTACATAGCAACTCACCAAAACGTTTCAGTGTAATTCATAAGATCACCCGTGAAGTATAAGACAAGGGTCTGTATTCCCTGGACAGGTTTCTTCTCAACCCTGTTCGGCGTGTAGAGCATGAGCGTTTATGGAACAGCACCGGGCTCAGCTCTGAGTGTAAATCCTGGCTCTTCCCTACGTGGCTGTGACCGAGCAATTAGACTCTGATCCTTAGTTTTGTCACTTACTCTTGGGGACAAAAATGCCCATGTCACAGAGTCACAAAACCAAGGGAAAAACAGAGCGCATCGTCTAGAGCCATGCTCCGCGGGAACAAACTTGTTAGGTGCTAGTTTTGATACAATAGGTGTCAATGGACACTTTGACTTAATCAACAGAGTAGCAAACATACCTGTCACTAGGGTGCCTCTGTCTCTCTCAGTGGCGCTACAGTGATCACAAGACGAGCTACCCTACCCTGGAGAGAGGTACAGTGTCCAAAGTTTATGCCCCCTCCCCTGAGGGCAGCCTGTGCTCACTAACTAGTGTATCGGGTCTAAAGGCCCACTGCCTTCACCGGAACTCGGGGCCAGTCTTAAGTTAGAGCTCCAGAGCGCCCCCTGCAGCCTCTACCGAGAGTGCATTAGACCCAACTTCTCCCTCTTGCCAATCCCGCTTCCCGCCACCAACCCACCACTCCACCGTCTGCTTTGTCGGGTGATGATTCCCTAATAAGTTCTTGCACGCTGACCTCCATCTCAGAGTCTATTTCCAGGAGAACCACGCCCACCTCCTGCAGTAGACGCCAAACGGCAGACTGCTAGCCTCTCCCCCTGCACTGAGTAGTAGCACCACATTTCTTTACAGCCTAAAATCGGTGTAGCGGTGTCTCATCTCCAGACAAGAAAATCATGCTCAGATGCTCTCTTGCTCACCTGCCTCCCTCCCTGGTGTCCGAGTTTCATACTCTAAGATCACGTTGTTTTATCTGACTCCAGCGATGTTCAGATAGATCCCTTGTAAACATCTGGTACTGCCCCTTGTCATCGGACTGCAGTTAAGTTCTGCCACTTGGCAGGAATTCATGGTTTCCCTAGGACCAGCAAGAGAGCTGGTGAAACAGGTCTCCCGGGTTCAGGCAGTCTGTCTTGTTCCGGGGACCTACTGGGCCATTCTAAAGGAACTCATTTAGCTACAAAATTGAGATGGGAGTTGAGTTCTGAGTTCTCAACGAGAGTGAAGAACCTGTACACAATTACTTTGGTGGAAGCCTCACTCAGATATAGATTTAAAAGCCCAATAGATCCCTGTTTATATGAACTACAGTCCTTCAAAATATCCTACAACAGCAGAACTTCTAAGCTCATTTTTGTGTAATTCTGTAGCCAGCTATTATATCCAAATTCATCCGGGCCTTCCATTGTGGCATTTTCTAAAGAATAGGTTTCTAACTGTCAATGAGTCTTTGGTTGACCAGTATTGCATGTTTATATCTGTTTTCATGAGAAGCCACTTTGAAGATATCAATATGTAATACAACCACCATTGTTAATTCCCTACCACTTTGTTTGTAACTCTGTATTGTCTGTATTGTGCTTGTGATATGTTGTAAAATGTTGTATGTCTGTTAATGTTTCCCTCCTTTTATCTTTAAAATTAAAAAAAAAAAAAAAAGAATAGGTTTCTAAACCAATTTACACTCAGTATATCGAGTTCTGATGTGGAAAAATCACAGTATTTTCATGTTTTCCTTTGAACAGAAACAGACTTTGCGCTCTTCCTCCCACCCTAACCACTCTGATTCCTTCTACTTGAAGTCTTTAAGTCCCTCCATACACGCAAGGAAGTCAGCCTGATCGCTCACCCCAGGGCCGGAAGTCACCCAGCTGCTCTGAGGCCTCCAAAAGAAAACCACACAGCCACTGCCCCAGACATTTTTCTCAAGCCAAGATGGGCCTGAGAGCCCCTGACCACACCAGCCTCACCGCCTCTGCTTTGGTGCAAAGCGCCCCTCCACAAGCCCGCCCGCATTATGATGGCCCTTTATATTGCTCCTGCCAGGCAGGCGGGCACCTCCCACCCACACCCTGCCCTCACAGCACACACTGAAAATGGAAAAAGGAAACACCACTCAGGAGATCTCCGCCACACGTGTGCCAAACACGTGTCTTGTAAAACTTCTCACGAGATGTACGATATTTCACGTTCATTTCACAGGTTTAGAAAGCGGGGTTCGGGAAGACAGATAAGTTGTCCAGGATAACTCAAGCAGCAAGCATTAGAGCAGCGTTACAGACTCACAACTGGGGCTGAACGTAAAATCAGGTCACTGCATCTGCTCGGGCACATTTCCTCCGTCACCGCGGCATGGTGCGGCTGCCTCCCTCCACAGCCGTTTCCTTTTTTACACACGTGCGTATTTTCCCTAATTCGATGTAAAGTTCCATCATGACGGGGGCCATACACATTTGTGTTTTTGAGGTGTTGAGACCCTCATGGATATTAGGCAAGTGCTCTGCCATTCACTAAACCCAGGCTGTATTTATATATTTTTAAACTCTCCTAGATCCTTCAACTGCTTATTTATTTGATAAGGATGTTTTGGTTAATAATTCATATAAACATTTTCAAGTATCTGATCTAAAACGTACAGTATCACTTTGATCTGCTCGGTCTCTTTTAACCAAGTGTACCATTTATCTCTTGGAATTTCATGATACAAAAGGCTTAAACTTGAGCTAAACCCGATGGAAATTCTCATAAAGACCACTGACGGTTGTTCATGTTCACACACTGCGGTTTGGCTTACAGTTTTGCCTGGAATCTACTTTTACAGGAACTGTATCTCTGCACTTGCGACTGGTTGACTCCGTAGATGCTGGTCCATGTGAAGGTCCCTCCTATAATAATCGTCCAGAATGTGTGTCTTTGCAGAGGGTTAGGGTTAAAACTAAATGAAAAGAAACAGAAAATGAACCTGAATTACTGACCAAAGACTAAAGAAAATCCTCCCAGAATAGTTTTCAATGTAAGCATATATAAGTCTGTGAAAAAATTAAAGTACTATAAAAGGTAAGACCACTTCTAACTCAAGATCAATGAAATAATGATTGTTATTTTCAGCGATTTGGAAATTCTAGATAGGACTGAGGAGGAAAGTAATGCTCTAATGATTCTGAGAATTTAGGGAAATTGTTCTCCCATGCTTTTATGAAACTGCTGTTAAATAATCTGCCCAGCTGTAATCAAGGATCGAGGATGGAAGGGAAGAGAGTGAGAGAGGGAGATTCCTAAGTCCATCATAGCAACCAACATGGTACTGAACTGAACATTAAATTAACATATTTTATGTCTACAATTCCTCTCTTAGCACATGTAGAGCCATAGTCCTAATTCAAATCCAAGCTCAAGAAGTGAGTCAATTAGCACAGTTTAAAGACTTACTTGCGAAAATTACCGTATGTTATTATAATCATGTTTTCCTAAGATGCTGCATGCACAAGATAAATATTAGTGGTTTAAAACCGCTCTGTGACATGTACATAAGTCCAAAATATTGTTACAAAGAAAGCTCAACTTCCATGTTGACATAACACTTAACCTCTTTTAACACTCTACCTAAGAAGGACTCTGTTCATCTCTGACATAAAATATGAACCTGAAAACTCTCTACAAAATTAGCTTTCTTGAATATTGTGGTGGTTAAGCTTGACTATACTAATTTGACTGGCTTGGGGACCTTCTAGAGGATTGGTGGGGCATTTCTGGGTGGGTCTGGGTGGGTCATGGAGCCGTGAACTTAGGTGTTGGTCACTCACTCCTTCCTCTCTCGCACTGTCCCTTGCTCTGCTTCCCAGCTGCCATGAATTAAGCACCTCTGCTCTACCATGCCCTTCCAGCATGATGCTCCTGCCTTAGAGCTACTGACCATGGACTTGATCCCCTTAAAACATGAGCCAGGTAAAACCTGTCCTTCTTTAAATTGTGGTTATCGGATATTTTGTCTCAGTGATGGGAAAGCTGACTAATATGCTTTCTAAAAATTATGAAATTCTCCAACTCTATTCCAAATCTTACATTGGAGATCAGTTGGAGTAAAGCATTCTGATTTTGCATATATTTAAGTACAGTATTTCTGTAGAAAAGTGAGAGGCTCTATCCCATTGCCTAACATGTAGTAGCAAAGTGTAACAGTGTAGAGTGTTGACTCTTTTTCCCGTAAAGTGTGGGAATCGAGGGTCTTTTGGAGTTTTTCCCTTAGAGGCTTCATTTTGTTATTTTTCTACAGTCTCTTTCCTTGTCATTTTACCCCACCTTCCAACCTGTTCCAGACTTTAAATTTGGAAGAAAATACTTCTTTGCTCCTCATCCCTTCTTAGGAGGAAGTACCATTGTAAAGTCATGTAGCCCGGAATCGTCGAACTGCTCAGACCCTTAGAAAAACTGGCAGGAACCCCGTCCACATGGGCGCACTAAGCTTCCATCCTTTGTGGCTAATTATTTCCTTCCTTTTTTTTTTTTGGATACAAGGAACTGAACTCAGGACCTCTCACTTACCAGGCAAGCCCCACACCACTGAGCTAAATTCCCGGCCCCTGTAGCCAGTTATTTTCTAACATAAACCCACTATTGCAAAAGAGTTTATTTTTACAGAGGAAATAGAAATTATGTCCTCTTTACCCAGAGGTAAAGAGCAACTTACTTCCAGAAGTTTAATCTTCCCCCTTCGTAGGCATCATTTAAAATCGTCTCGATGCCACCTTGAGTTATCACAGCCTGTATAATCACAGATGCAAATCCAGCCACCATGATGCCAACTTGAAAAACATCTGTCCAGACAACCGCTTTGAGGCCACCCTTTAAAGAGAGAATATTGGGGCTAATGCACCTATCAGACATGATTAAGCAACCGTATGCTGCTACACCACGCTGGATAAAAATGATGAAAATCCAGACGCTGGCCAAGAAACGCACTCAAGACAGATGATGGGTTGGGGTAACACTGACAAAGGAGATGTTTGAGCCGGCCCTCAAGCGTAATCAAACGCAAAGAAGGAGAACAGCCTGGCCCAAAGCACGCTGGGCCGGATTCCCTGGTCTGTTGAACGTGGCCAGATACATAATACAGAAAGGAAGTAGAAGGGTGTGGGGATGCAGCTAAGAAGAAACCTCCAGAGTCAACTGCACAGATCAGTGTCTGATTTTGTCCTATGGGGAGGGCTGCTGTTCAACCCGTGTGTCCAGAGAGTCACGGTGGTTGTTCAGATTCCAACACTGCTCTGTACTAGCCACGACCACAAACTCCTCATGGCCCCCTTTCATCTTTCTGACTGGGGTCCCTGTCTTCTAAAAGACCCAGCAACAGAAACTATCTTGTAGATAACAATATGTGAAACAATAACCATTGATAATTTCCTACCACTTTGTCTGTAATTTGGTAAGCCCCCCCATTATTATGTTATCCTTCTTTTACTCTTTAAAATAAAAAAATAAAAAATAAAAAGACCCAGCAACTAAAGAGTTAGTACCTAGAATATCAAAGATCCCATAAGATACACATCAGTGCTAAAAAAAATCCACGTCCATGGTACTGCCAGTGTCCTGCCACGTGGTTTTGACAGTCTCTGTCACTCGTGGATATGGGCAACAGGAAAATCACAGGCTTCTGTGCTGAGGAATTATCTGAGAAAGCTCCAGTCATCTGCGAAAGCCTGGATGGACCAGGAGATGAGACCAGGACCAATGTAGTGATTTAGAAGAAACAAAGTTCAGTTGTTTCACGTTCTATCAAGCTCTCAATTTGACCACAAACCAAAGACTCCTTACAAGTAAAGTCATATGGTGGGAGGTCAGGAGCCGATGACTAGGTGTGAACAACTCATTGTACAGCTCAGCACAAGTGAAAATTTCCATTTTGCCAAGTTCATAGATAGAGCGAAGGGGAATGGCGTCCCCACCATACGTACCAGCGTGCAGTAGAACGTGCAGACCACGCCGGTCGCCACCACCGCCCCCCAGCGATCAAATCCGGTGACTGCAGAAGAGAAGAAAGGACATGCACAGCTGCAAAATATGCCAAAAACGGGTCAGGAATTACCGGGGAGGGAAGCGATCTCATTCGTTGAGCACCTTCCTGTATCGACTTCCTGAAAACTAGGATCCAGCCTCACAAATGTCACAAAAACACAGAGTTTTAAAAAATGATATTCAATGAGTTCAACAGCCATGGGTGTGCTGTGATCTCAACACAGATCCAACACGGCTAAGCAAAAGCAAGGAAGAGCCCTACTACGGGAACTCGGCTGAGAGGTTGCTGGATTCCGCAGTTGTCTGTTCGGGCTGCTGATTGGTCAGAGGACGCCTCTGTCCCTGCCCCGAGACACCGTTCAGATATACCTACAGTGTCACCGTCCTTGAAAGATGCAGTGCTAGACTGCACGCTATTAAAACAGAACTTAGATGGAGAAGTCTGTGTACTTGATTACCATCTTTCGAAAAAGTAGACGGGTACATTATATTTTTTAAAAGGAAGGATAAATGAAAAGCAAACAAAAAAAGCAGTTACCTAAAGAAGAAGTAAACAAAGTATAGGTGACAAGGAGGTAAGTTAGACTTCTCTAAACATACTTTTAGGTTTCACTTTGGAGCTGTGCACATATTCTACATAATTATTTTAAAAATTAAAAGAACTTAAAATCAAAATAAATTGAAATAAATCAAACCTAGCTGTATACCAAGTTTGTGACATCACCAGACAGAGAAAAATGTGCCACAAAGCACAGTAATTTAGCTGGGCACTGTGTCACATGTCTATAATTCTAGCATTAGGGAGGCTGAGGTGGGAGGATCTCTATAAGCTTGAGGCCAGCCTGGGCTACACAGTGAGTTCAAGGCCAGCCTGAACTGCATAAATGAGGTGCTGTCTCAAAAAAGCCAAAAAAAGAAAAATTAATTAAAAAATAAAACAGCAATTTAATATATACCCCTACTGGGATATACCTTAAGGAAAAAAGAACTGGAAAGAAAAAAATCTGTGACTATTTTCAACCATCATATTAAGAGTTACAATCCTGGAATAAGTTATTCTAAAACTATTGCCTCAGTGATTTTCAAGTTGGATTGCACTTTAAAATCGCCACAGGAGACTCTTATTGTTATTGGGGTTTGGGGAGGGTTGTTTTTGTTTTAAGACAGGGTCTCACAATCTAGCTCAGGCTGGCCTTGAACTCACTATGTAGCCCAGGCTGGCCTCAAACTTGTGGCAATCCTCCTACTTCAGCCTCCTGAGTGCTGGAATTGCAGGTATGCACCACCATGCCTGGATACCAGAGAGATTTTTAAATCCTGACGACTTGACCACTCAATGGGTCCATTAACACGCAGCTATGGGGTATGCGCTCCAGCATCAGTATTTCTCACGGGAATCTAATGGGCAGCCCAGGTGAAGTCAGGAGACTCCAAGGAGCCCCCTGCTGGAGAATATGGGACAGTTTGAGCATTGATAATAGCACCAACCTTATGATATGAAATTGCAGCACACGTTTAAATTAGAAATTCATAATGATATATTTTTAAACAAAAAAATCTCAGTTGACTTAGGAGATAGTAGAAGACCAATTTACCTATTTCTTGAGGGTTTTTTTTTTTGCTTATTTTGGGTGCTGGTGACCGAAGCCAGGGCAATGGGAAGAGCGCTGGGCGTGAGCTCAGCCTTCGACTCACTGATTTTAAAACTAACAAGTAAATGGGGGAGATCAGCTGCTTCCCAGGCATTTCTTATATAACTGTTTGCCCAGAGTAACCAAGTAATCAGCAAGCTTCTCTGTTGACGCGCTCCATCTAATTAATGAAAAGGGAATCAAAGAATTAGATGCTCCTATTCTACAAGCCTTAATTAACTTAAAACTATATGCTTACAAGCATCGTCTCAGAGATATTATCGCTAAAAAGCTGAGCGGCAGCCTGAAAACCTGGAAGTAACTACGACGACTCATAAGAAATGGCGAGAGTATGAGAAATGTTCAGCGACCCATGGGAAGGCACTCAGTAAAATCAAGAACAAATAATGCAGTTTCTCCAACAAAGAAATGCAATTTAAAGGGAGGGAAAAGGAGAAGGGAGATTATAAATCAAAAGAAACTTTAAAAGAGCTTCAAGCTACATCCATTAAAAATCGACAGAATGGAAGAAATAGAAAAACTAGTAGCGACATGTGTAGATTCCAACCTTTCTTTCTTGGTGATTGATAGAACAAGTTTAAAACTCAGTAGAGGGATAGACCACTAGAGGGCTAGAGCCGTAGCTCAGTGGTAGAGTGCTTGCCTAGCATGCGCAAGTCACAACGGTGGCAGTTGTCTGGCCAAAGCAGTATTCATTCAGAAATCAGTAATAAAATGACATGCTAGAAAATCTCCAAATATGTGAAAATTAAGCAACACTCTTTTAAATAACTCTCAGAGAAAACAAATCACAGGAGAAATAGAAAAATATTTTGAACTGAAAGATAATAAAAAACATAAGTATGCAAAATCTGTGGGGTGCAGAAAATGCACTGTGTAGGAGCTGGGGACTTAGCTCAGTGGCACAGTGCCTGCCTGGCAAGCGAGACGTCGTGAGTTTGACTCCCGGTACTGGAAGAAAACAAAACAAAAAAAGAAAATACACTGTGTAAAGAAACCTTTATAACTTCAAGAATGTATGTTATAAAATAAGAAATATTTAAAATTAGTGATCCAGAATTTTACCTTTAAGCTAGAAAAGTTCAACACAAATAGAAGAAATAAATTAATGAAACAGTACAAATTAATGAAGTAGAAAAAGAAAATTAACAAAACTCAAAACTGGTTCTTACAAACCATCAGTAAGCTGGATGTGGTGGTGCAGAGTTGGAATCCCAGCACCCAGGAGGCTGAGGCAAGAAAATCACCACAAGTTCAAGGCCAGCCTAAACTACATAGCAAGGTCCAGTCTCAAAAACAATAAATACATACATACATGCATACATACATACATAAAAATACTAGCAAGATGTAGCAAGAACAGAGATAAAAAGGCATCTTATCAGTATTAGGAGGAAGTAGAAGGGACATCACTAGAGTCATAAGTATTAAAGAGCGTATCATAAACAATGTGGAAGGAAGCTTTTAAGTTAGAAAAATAGGTAAATTCCCTAAAAAAAAAAAAATTATCAAAATTGACACCAAAGAAGTTGAAAATATTAATAACTAAATTTATTAAAGAAATTGAATTGATAAGCCAAAATCTTTTCACAAAAACAAAAAATATCAGATCCAGGTGCCTTTGTTTTTAATTCTAGCAAGCATTTCAAAAAGAAATACATAATTTTATAAACCTCTTTCAAGAAACAGAAGAGGAAACATTTATGAAGCCAGCATAGATGATAAAAAAAAAAAAAAATCTGACAAGGGCTGGGGATATAGCTCAGTGGCACAGCACCAGCTTGGCAAGCACAAGGTCCTCAGGTCAATTTCCAGTACAAAAAAAAAAAAAATCTGACAGGGACATTCCAGGAAAATGAGACTTCAGAGCAATATACCCCATGAGCTCTAAATATTCTTAACAACACACTCCCAACCCAAATGTACTAATGTATGAGGGTTAATACACTATGACTAAGTGAGGTTTATCCCAAGACTGGAAAATGTACTTAGCATTCAAAAATCAACAAACGTGTTTTCCTACATCAACAGTGCAGTCTGACAAGAGAGAGAACCAAAGGCATAAACATTAGAAGAGCAGTAAAACTGACCTATTCATAAACAACATGAAAACCCTGCAAGGTCTCCAAAAAGCAAATTGAATTGAAAAGCAAATTTAGCAAGCACTCAGGATAGAAGATCAACTTATAAAAATCAGTTATATTTTATATAATTGCAATGAATAACAGGAAAATATTATGAAATGATAGCATTTGGAACAACATGAAAGGTCAGTTATCTAGAAATAAACTCAAGAAATATATGCAAGAGTTTAGCACGAAAAGCTGCAAAACATTACTGAGAGAAAATTTTAAAGACCTGAGTAAATGTACTGATACTCCATGTGACGGATACACGGGAAGAATACTGCTTTTATAGAAAGCATATTCAAGTCCTTTGCCCACTTTTTACTAAATGACTTGTCATTTTAAATTCACCTTCATTATTTCATGAGCCAAAAAGCTCAAAATCAATAGTCAACAGGATATATAAATTAAAACGGTAACACAAAAATCTATAATATCCTTTAGAATGGCAAAAAAAAAAAAAAAAAA